AAAAATAGCAGATCAGTTTCATCTTTTGAAAGTCAAGCCGAGATGGGAAGCGTTGGTGTTAGTACTGGTATTAGTGATTGAAAGATATGTCGAAATCCATCGAGTGATCTCAGGTTACAGGTCATTTATAATTTACACGTGATTTTGTCTTGATTTTTCTGTATGAGATGTACTGTGAGTGGATAAGTAGGTTTTGATTTTTTTACGCATAAATAGTAAGTCAGTATTTTATGCTGGGCATACTGGGCGCTTCAATTACAAATCTATATATTATAATAGTAGGATCTGTTATTATTGTTCATGGAGCATTGATATGAAAGCTTTTCATATTGATTCTTAGTTTGCTTCGTCATGCTTTAAAAGATATTTTTATCCCTAAAATTTTATTTTCAATTCATGAGTCTTATTTATTGTAAAATGAAGCAGTTTTCGCATCACATTCTTTACAGACTTTGTAATGTAGTATGTATTTTTTTCGTAAAATTGTTGAATATAGATAATGCGCATAAATATGGGTATATTGTGTAGGTTCAAGAAGATTTCCGCTGATCCTATATCCTTGAAACTTTCAACCACAAACCGTAAGTAATTGCCTTCTCTAGTTCTTCATGTTTCTACTGTATTTCAAGTTTGTGTATTGTTTCAAATTTGTCTTTCCTCAATATTTGGCTTTTTTATATCTATGTTATTAAATATAATTGTTTTAATAAACAGGATATTTTGAATCTTCAGGCACATTAAAAAATGTGATGAGCAGGTGAGGATGGCTGGGTTTGACAATATAGAAATGATGACCTCCAGATACAACAAAAATAAATGAAAGCAAACAGAAATAGTTTCCAGGTGAGTGTCAGAGGGACATCTGTTGGTAACATGTGGGCTGAGATTTTGAGTATGTAGTTCGAGTTTAAGAAACTTTAATTAGTCCTCTTACATTATTTATAATGGTCCGAATGCTTGGAATTTTGAATATCGATTTCGGATTTCACAACACCGGACGACTTCAGAACACTAACAAAACTATTAACTATGAAAATCAATCACGAATTATTGTTATGTGGCTAGATTATCACTAACAGGAGTCGGAAGTTCATTTACAATTTCGAACAATCATTAAATTTTAATGTAATTGTGTGTAGTGGTTAAATCTTGGAGTTATAGCCAGTTTTCTCGAAACTTGAAATAATCGCATATAATCCTTAAGGATTACAAACCAGAAAACTATGATAAGTTGTGTTAATCGAAAATCTTCATATCAATTGTCCTTAATTGCTGAGACGTTCAACCCGGGAATCCCAATCAACGCAGCTGCAATAACGCATACCAGAAAAGTTGCAATGCTGAAAACTTGTTGTTTGACTAGTTATATTCATGTCTTTTCATATAAGATATGGAAAATGTACATTAATTAACTCATCACTTTTCAAGAATATCCTTGCAAAAGTTTTTACATCAGGACAACATTTGACTGCTGGTTGTCATCAGTCCATAGATAGTATTTGTTGATTTGCAGATTTGATTCTGCAGAAAATAAAAAGGCTTTGCTTCATCTTATTCGCTTCAGTAAAACCATCATTGTAACATATTTCACATACCTAAAAATGTTACTTGAGGAGTTGATAATTAGTCATAAGTGTAGTTTAGAAAAAGTTTTAATGAAAGAACGTGAATTGAAAATTGTCAGTTATGAATGTGAATAGGCAGAGTTGAATGAAGGCAAAAACTAGTGTAAATCGTTTGATGACACGTGAGCGGACGCAAGGGAAGCTTCGAGTTTGCTGAAGTACATGTGGAAAAAATGTGAACATATTTTAAGGGCTAGATTTACTCAACGGAATTTTAAGCAGTCATACGAATAGTTTTATCTTACTAGTCAATTAAAAAGTACTTTATGACTACAAATTACAGATAGGCAAGCTTTAGAACATGAAAACTATGGTCTTGAGCTTTTCTGTGCAAAATTTGTCTCACAAACTGATTTTGAATAATCGTCGCTTAACAATAGATGCGATTAATGCGAATTCAGTTCTGCTGAATTGCGACACGCACAGACACGATGTGTACACAATCATAATTAATGATGAGAACTCAAGTAGTCCACCACCGATTATTCTGAATGTTGACTGTGGTGTTGATAAATTCATTAAATCATTCGTTTATTATTGCAAAAGAACTGTAGTTCAAAAATATGAAAAATACTTCCTGTCCTATTTTGTCAGTACTAGTAAATTCGTAGTGGTTTGATAAAGTTGAAAAGTTACAAAAGTAATTAATAGTATTACAATCTGAAAGCGATGCAGCAAACATAAAACAGTGGTAGGATCTGATTTCAGTGCTGCATATTACACAGCATTCTGTAGTATATTCAACGTACCAGAAGAAAAACGCTTTTCAAGGAATCATTGCTGAGGGGAATCTTCGCAATCTCATCGAAACCAAAAAAGGATTACTAAAATTTAATAATTAATATAGTAAAATGAAATTCCCAAACCAATATTACTCATATTTTCGTTCAGTTTTGTATAAAATCTGTTAAATTAATCTGGCCATTTTCAGCTACAAATTTAAAAGCGGGAAAAACCCATCAATCCACTAATACGCTTGCTTTTGATAACTTAAGAAAGAAATATTTTACGTGGATTTCCATCACACATCAAATCATTGACCGTTTTGTGGTTAAGTATCATTTTGCTTTGATTTTGAAAAGTAATTTAGCACTCGACCTCATCATCGCAACAATTATACGCTGCTAAAGAAGTCTACATGAATAGCCTGAACTAGCTAGATCAAACATTAACAATAACATTTAGTAAATAGATTAATTTTTATTTGCGCATTATTGATTTTGCGTTTAGGTCGTGTTCTGCAGTCTGGTTGCACTCGTCCAGCGGCTTTTTTGTAGTGCCAGTATCTGTCGCTTCATATTCGTGGAATCCACAGCAAGATGCTCTCGAGCATCTTCTTTAGTACTATAGATTGGAGGATATATGCCTCGACATGATCACATATACTAATTTCTCTCGCGTAGCGTTTGAAAGTTTTTTACTATTATACCTCAGTTCATCACATACAAAACGGAATTATGTTCATCACATATACACTTTCGTATACTTTGGTGTAGCACAGCAGAACTGAATTACTTGAAACGAGTGCTCCAGAATACGATCAAGTACCAAACTAATAATGCATAAAGATTAGCCTCTGTGTGATGCTGATTTTCATATAAATTTATTGTCCCATATTAACTGATATATGCAATATATATGTATTCTTCAATTGCTATTTAATTTTTCTACACATTTTTCGCGCCTTTTCAAACTTTACGTCGACTTTTAAAATAGTTCTCAGAATTCAAAAGGTCTTTTCTACCATAGAAAATGCGAAGCTAAATTTGTTGTTGTCAAATAGCAAAAAGTAATAAAGATTACTACATAACACTGACAAAATTAATTACCTTTCCCCTTATCCATCAGTTTTTTTATCAGACAAAGAATTTGCATATGTCGACTTTTCTTCTCAAATCTACCAAATCCCAGATGTGCAGAAAAATGCGTAACGCCATTTCCAGATTCATTTGATAAGACTTTATCAGCAAGTTAACGAGCTTTCGTTTATGATTGTTTTTTCAGTTGCAAACACAACTCGTATTTTGTTCAGTTTTCATATCACTCAACATTTATATATACTTTTTTATCAGTCTGATTATCAGCTAACAATCAGTGCTAATAATTATTATTGCTAGCAAATGAATTTAAAATGTTAAACAATTTAAAATACAGTCAAAACATTTGAATAATTTTTTATACTTGCCCGCGAAATCGCTAGTCGTTACATTCCAAAGTGATGATGTATGTATGATTTGAGAAGGACAAATTTTATGAATTATTATCGATCGATCGATAAACTAAGACTGAAAAACAAAACGAACATCAAAATAGGTATGAGAACAATGCAAAGTTGTTCAAATGACGGCTAGACGTGAGGATAACTTTGTCCTTGACGACCAACTAGCCACAGCACTTGTCTATTGCCATCTTCTCGTTTTCTTCATAATCGATTTCAACAGATTTGTACATTCAATTTTGTCATAGCAAAGCATGACGCAAATGCTGGAGTGTGTATGAGTGTATGTATACGTATGCGTAAGCGTGAGTGTGTAAGTGTAAGTGTAAGTGCAAGTGTAAGTGCAAGTGAGTGTGTTTGCATTATGCGCATGTGACTTTGGCTGGATGCTGCGCGAAAACCTGTTTATATTGATGTACAGAGAACAATTTTTGAATTAATGTCAAACCTTCGAAAGAAACAAAAATTTTCTTCTTGCCATTATATGCAAAATTCTTTCTTTTTACTGCCAGTCCTGACAAATTTTGCTTTCTCTCAGACTATTCACTGATTGTCAATAAATTTGATTCGTAAACTTTATCTTTGCTGCTTCAACTACAACTCCCATGGCAGTTACAGTTACAGTTACAGTTACAGGCTTCAGTTAGTCTTCAGCAAGCATTACTGTAACTCACTCAAATCATACAAGTTATTCTTGCAGTTGAACATCACTGTACGTGTAATACTTATTAAATCCTTTTTATTCTAATTTTTATTTTGGCATCACTCAATACGTAAACAGTTACTTCATTAACTTTCAACAATAATTGAATAAGTATTATTTACCGATTTTAACGGTGCAGCTTGAATTTTAATCCTGATCTTTTTTGATGCTAAGAAGCAGAATTAAAATCAGAATTCAACTGCAGGTAGTAAGATAATGATTATTACTTGATCATTGGAAATCATTTGAAGATTTTGAAAAAACTTCGTTTTTTTGATTTTAGAATAAATCTTCACGTATAATCGTTCCCTTTTTGCTTTCAGATGTCAAAAATCAAGTAATCAAAATTGAAGTCAATGAACATGCAAATGACATCAACTATAAAACCTTCTCTTAATTAGTGACTTTCAAAATTTGCTCTCTAATACTTTTTCGTAATTTGTGCATTTACCGGATGGTTACTGCTCGCACTGCACTGCAAATTCCGTCTTTTATTATCGCACTGATCGCAACTGTAATCAATCTGATAGCCTTGGCAACACCTGCCTGGCAGGTCAGTTTTAAAATCGCTTCAAGAACTTTTTACATTTTTACTATTAATTTTTACTTTTGTTTAAACAAAAGTCAATTTCAGTCGAAAAGGCAATAAAAAACAAACATTTGTTGCATAAACTTGTAATAAATATTTAGAATGCTTAATACGAAAGCGCATCATCATTATTAATATCGACATTTATTATCATAACAAGTAGTGATTATCATTAAGCACAGTATGCCATAGCCATCAGTACGTATAATTAATGTGACAAAGCTATATGTAACATACATTTGATTAAATTGTAGTAATAAAATATGACAGAATTCATCGTATCATTTCCAATCACATTTGCTTCATTCAATAAAAAATTCAATCTCTGTTCTTATTTCAGTTGAGATTTGAATAAGTAGCATTGAAGAAGTAAAGATGAAATTCAAAAAATGAAACTGAGATCAATTACAATTCAGTACTGATCTTAGCTAGCAAATATTTTAAAAATTTTCTTGCTTTTTTTATTCAGCCTTTGACCTTTTTGCTCGATTCATCGCCTTTGACCTCTTTACTCGAATACTCAATGAATAAAGCTTTTTTGTCAATATATTTATGCAAAAAATGCATGTGCAACAAAAAATATGCCAGAAGTATTTTTTGAAATAAAAAAATGGTGAAAGTTTGTACAGGTCGTTTTCGCTCGAGAACTGCAACAGTGGATACAAAGTGGGTTATGGATGAACTGCCAGACAAGGTAAGTTATTACTTTCTACAACTTTGTAAGAAGTATAAGAAAATAAATTTTCACTGAAACTGCCATTCTAAGAATGAGTGATTGTTTGAATTAAATAGTACGCATAAGTGAATATATACTATTTGAGGAGGTCGTGAAATACAATACTGAAATAATTTACTGCTTGCTATAAAAATTAAACATTTTGTCGGTTCAAAAGTTTTTTTTAGACATTTTTTAATCTTATAAATTCATTTATTATGTTCACGTAGGCCATCTGGAATGCTTTCTTGTATTTATACATTCACCAGAAACCATCTCGATCCTTATTCACTTGCACAGTTAGTCAGTATTCGAACGCCTGCTTTTTATGGTAAGCCTTTGACGTTTTCACTCGATCCATTGTATCCTGTCCTATGTTCAAAGTAATTCTGCTCAAACAAACATTATTCTCCATTGAATTTTGATTTTTGTCAGTACTCACTGCTATAATTTTTTTTATAATTGGCTGAACTATTACCATTTATCGTCACAATCATTCTTTTGTATTACATTATAACCCTTAGCAATACTTCTGGACAATAATTCCTCATTAAGGAGTGATACACTAACTTTCAGACTGGCAGCATAATTTATTGTACATATTATTACTTGGCCAGTTTCTAGCTCTGTTTGCAATGCTATGTTTTTGTTACTCACAAGCATCTGATGTTGCCAGAAGTGCTTCTTTGTTATTCACCATCGCAATTTGCTTATCTGGTTTGTCTTCCGATTATTTATTTTGTAGTAATTAGTTTTGGTGTTATGATTATTAAAAATTACTATTGTTATTATTACTATTATCATTACTAATTTGTAGTTACTAGTATTAATAATTATATTTATTAGTTTTGTTATTGTTCATATCATTACTGATATTATTTGACGTGATTTGTAATTGAATTATTGTGCATGTTTTACAGCCATTATCAATATTGGTTGTAATATCGCTTTTCAAATATTTGCTCATATGGTTGAATACAGGTTTTATCACGTTAGCGTTAGTGGTATCTATGAGGTAAGCAATTAGTATTTTCATATAAATTTGTTAATTTTGTTTAAAAATAGAACAAATTTGTTAAAAATTTCTGTAATAATTTGGCAATTTTTTCAGAAACATCCTGGTTACTCGTATTTCTTGCATCTGATAGGCTCAATTTTACTTATACTTTCATTTCTCTTCTCATTAGCATATTTTGTGGTATTTTGTCGGACTACGGAGAGTAGCACAGGAAGGAGAACTAATCAAAATACCGTCTCATCACGTCAGGTTACATTTGTTTTCTTGATCGCAAAAAATTAGCATACGCATAATATTCGATTTTAGATATTAGCTTTTAAAATATACAAGTTTTTTATGCTCTGTTAACGGTTACAAAAATAATTTTTAAATTTGACTGTGGTTTAACAGCAGATGTATGCTAAAGCTGAATTAGTGATACTGAGTACTGAATACGTTGACTTTCAGGCTTATCAATATCGTTATCCTCAGGAAGACTTCGCCATGAGAGCTTTACCTGAACTACCTTCGAAATATCATAAATGATACAAGAAGTTCAACATGTTAATCAAAAAATCTAATGTTTGAAAAAATTACCAGCAATAAACAGAAATAACTTATCTTCTAAACCACACTTTTCATGACAAACGTTTGTATCAAATTCAGTTTTGAATAATTTAGAGGTCGAATGATTTATTTGTTAGTAAGTAAGTCAATAATTTGAACTGCAACTAATTTGAAAAAAAAAGTAAAAATTTGGCAGAATTTATGACTAATGAATTGCGGAAGGTTCTGTACGCTAAGAGAAATACTGTTTATTGAATCGTAATTACAAATAGAATTTTACAGTAATTGGCCTTTCCCTTCAATAGTATTAGTGAAACGTTTCAAATGGCACATTGAGAATAAATCTTCTCAAATGCCTTTTAAATTTGCAAAGTAAATCAAGATTCTTTCACAAGTCCTTCCCACTATTCTATTTACGTTATAACGGAGCATCATCTCATCGACGAATTACTTCTCTCTGTAAAATCTCCAGGATCAAAAAGCTAAGTGAAAACTGTTCAGCGTAAATCACTCAGATCAAAGTATGCCCTTCAAAATGTCAAAATTTGCTGTTAACATTCAGTATGCATAATAAAAGTTTCAAACTTCTGATACGCGTCAATTAGAACAAGGAACAAATGTTATGAACATAAAGTATCGTTTTTGCTGCTATAAAGTTTGAAAGTTTGTTTTTTGATCTATCGAAGTGGCAAAATATTAATCGAATTTGGATAAGATTTCAGTATTCTATATAATTCACTGGCAGAACGTTTTCTCGGCAATCAACATTGACCTTAATCATCTATCGTTATCTCATCTATCATGTGAAATACTTGATTAATGCTTAAATATACTAAAACTGCAGCTAAAAAACAGAGTTAACAGTGCCGTATTGAAATCATTTATCACGTGGTTCTTCGTGAGAAAGTTTGTAATAACTTTGGCGTTCTCGTGTTTGTTGTTGATTGCAGAATAAGTGCTTGCTGTAAGAGCAAGTGTTGCGGGAATTGGAATTGATCGTGGAAACAGGTTATTTCTCGTTTCATCGATGACATGTCACGTCGACAGAGATAGAGGGACTCAGAGAAGGAGAGAGAAAACTTAGCAATTTGCAGCGTGTTTTGCCTTATTCCTTCTCCATGCATATGACATTTAATTGCAGTCAGGCAAAAGTTGATTGAATTCCACGTGCAATCACGGATCCATCTACTGCTTTCCAGCTTCATACTCTTTTGGTTTTGTTTTTGCGTGAGTTATAACCGATGACGCAAAAATGTGAAGCTACTGTTTACGAATACACTCTCGGTCAAGCTTGGCTCTTATACACGTGAGACAAGAAGGTGATTTCACCGGGAGCAAATAATGTTTGACAAATCGTTGAAGTATCTTTCATATTTACGTAAGTTGCTTGCAAGTATTGACGAAAAAAATTTCCACTCGTTGTTATGGGAAACGAATTGTTTCGTTGTGCATTTCCAGTAGATACTTTCTACTCTCTGCATTCCATTCTTTTCGTTTTATTTGCAATGTTATTGACGTATGTATAGATAGATGTGCAAATAAAATATTTGTGCATGTACACGTCGGAAGTCGTAAGACGTCAAATTTCTGCATTATATGTTTTAAGTGTGTGTTTGTGTGTCTGCGTAGTTGTCTGAGATTGTAGCAAATTTATGAATAGTTTCGCGCTTTGAATTCTTTTCTCAATTTAAATTGTAAATGATATAATAATGTGAGAATTTGTGGAAATAGTACAAGAATGAATTTTTAACGATATATCAATTATGACCTTCATGACCTTTACCAGTCATCAATAAAAGTGAGATTTGCAGACTAATCACCAAAAAAGCATATAATTTCGAAATTGAAATTTGGCCAAATCCCAACTTCAAGATTTGCATAGTTGATGGCTAAAAATGGTTTATATCAAAATTTTTTCCGAAACTTACCTAATACTGTTAAAAATTGACCAAGTCCACTCTTTCATTCCCAATGACCAAAACTTAGGACTGTTTTCAAATGACCTGAAATTCGCAATATTAAAAAAAATTATCGCTGTTCCTTGATGTAAAGTAGTGATGAAGTTTACAATCGAAGTAAATTCCCAAATGTTAGTGAAATCTCACTTTTGTTGCTAATTAGTTTGCAATGATAATTAGTAAAATGGACTTTTCTGCCGTTTAATTATTCGACGTAAGAATACGTGCTGCTTCATAGTCACATAAGCAAGCATCCGTTAGCACACTCTCATTTTGGAGACTGAATAATATGCTCTAAAAACGAAAAAATTAAAGAGAAAGGTCATTTATTTTAAATCAAGCTTAAAGGTATCGAAATTTGCAAGAAAATTTGAAAAATTCGCTTGAGAAGATGTGAAAGTCTTAAGAAATTTGTAGCACGAGAATTAGCTGTTGAAGTGTGCAAAAGGTCAGAGATAAAGAAGTGTAGCAGTGCAAAGGTCAATTACTGAAGTAAGTTGAAGTGTTACAAGCTTGCTCAATTAATATATTGTCCTTAAATAAATAATATGCAAACTTTCTATATAATTTTGATCTTTCTTTTAGCTTGACATGGTGTTAATTTATTTTTACATACAAAATACGTGTTTAAAGTCTAGAATGTTGTATGAAGTCTTGAATTCATTAATACGAGCATAAAAACGTATATTTGCAGTAGTGCAGGTAATCATTTTGATAGTTATTACTTACGATAATTACGTTGATAGTAATTAATTGATTATGCAATTGTTATATTACAATAATGAAGAAAAAAAAGTGAACGTAAAAACTGATGGTGCGTAATTTCTGCACGAAACTTTTTTCGAATTATTAAAATCTTTCAATTTTTCAAGGGCTTACCTCAAGTTCGCTATATAATAGCGAAGTTACTTTCGATTGCTCATTAATCTAACTTTTGTAGTTATCGATTATTCATTAATCTGATTCAATCTTATGCGAAATCAAAAAAAAGACCGCAAATAATTGTGAAGAATAGTACTAAGTGCTCAAAATATCGCAAAATAGTATTTCATCATATGAATTCAGTTGACAACAAATATATATTAAAGGTCTTCACTTTTTGTTTCAGTCATTGGTGTATTTTTTTTAAGAATCTAACGACAGTAATTTATGTTTGGTCATGAAGACAA